GAGGGCCCCCCCCCCCCCCGAGTGCACAAATTTGTGTGCACCAGGCCTCTAGTCCTGTATAATAAAAGGCTAGTGTTCAAATAGACTGAATGGCAGAACAACCGAACAACCAGTCATTATGACATGCGCTGACCACTAGGGGGCGAACACAGAACATGGGGGGCATTGGCCACAGCAGGATGGTGGAGCAGGTCAGCAGGGGCACCTGACCAAAGTGCCGGTTGCTGTCATCGGGCCAAGCCTCTGGTGGCTACTGAAAATTCTTTGCTCCCATGTGCCACAGTCCCACCCAGCTCTCGCACCTGCTGCTGGGGCTAGCCCCACTTGCACCCCCTGCCAGCACCCAGTGCCTGTCCTGATTGCTTGGTGCTGTCAGCAGGTGCAAGCAGTGGCTGCCAGCCCAAATCACCCCTGAGTGCTTCTCTCCCTCCTCCTGCTCCTGAGGGGCGATTGGGGCAGCAGCCTCCACTTGTGCCTGCTGCTGGTGTTGGCCTCAATTGCTCTGCACCATCAGCGCATGGATGCGGCAGCAGCAGCAGCAGCGGCGGGAGCGGGGCTGCTGCAGAGGACCAGGGGCTGCAGCAGGAGGGGCCGAGACCAATTCGTGCACTGGACCACAATCTCGCAGCCCACAGTTCCTTTCAAGGTGCATGAATTCGTGCACTGGACCCTAGTACAAAATAATATTTAATGTAAACTATAATTGATAAATACAATTTACACAAACTAAAAGATTTAAATGAGATAAACAATATTCTTTTAGCTAGAAAGAAACCAACTTAGATTGTTCTTAGAAATAAAACAAATAAATAAACAAAATAATAAAATCACAGCCATATAAAAGGTTATACTTTGCCTTCAGGATAAAGAGCGTCCCAGCAATAAATAAAGGCAAACTATGTCTGAATTCTGAATTAACTGTCATGTCTCATATACTTTCTGAGTTCTGTCTCCACTGGATACAAAGGCATTTGTGTCAATGTATATATTAGTCACATATAATTGGTCAGTCAGACTCTTTCCAATACTCATTGGCATATAATTTATTTTTTAATTTTCAATGACAGTTGACATTCAATCTATTCTAATAAAAGGGTAATATGCTAATTAGACTGGAAGACCTTCTGGGAGACCTTCTGAATGTACTTCTGGACAAAGCCATGGTGCCAGGACTGAGGTAGAGGCAGTTAGGGGCAATCAGGCCAGCAGGGGAGGGCAGTTTGGGGAGAGCACACTGGTGGGGAGGGCAGTTGGGGGCAATCAGGCTGGCATGGTGGGTAGTAGGGGCAATCAGGCCAGCAGAAGGGCCGTTGGGGGTGAGCAGACCGGCAGTTGGGGCAGTTGGGGGTGATCAGGCTAGCAGGTGTGGGCAGTTGGGAGCAAGCAGACCGGCAGGCGGGAGGCAATCAGGCTGGCAGGAGGGAAGTTGGGGGCAATCAGGCTGGCAGGGGGAGGGCAGTTAGGGGCAACTGTGCCTGCAGGGGGGGCAGTTCGAATTTCATGCACTGGGCCACTAATATTATTTATATTAATTTCAGGTGTACAGCATAATGGTTAGTGAATGGTGTAATTTATAAAGTGATACCCCAATTTTCAAGTACCCACCTGGCACCATACTTAGTTTTACCATTATTATTGACTATATTCCCTCTGTTGTATTTTACAACCCATGACTATTTTGCAAATATCAATCTGTATTTCTTAATCCCTTCCCTTTCTTTTTTTTACCAAGTCCCCTAAAATCCCTCTTATCTGGCAACCACCCATTTCTTTTCTGTATCTATGTGTATGCTTTTGTTTTATTTGCCCATTTATTTTGTAATTTAAGTTCCATATATAAATGAAATCATACGGTATTTGTCTTTCTCTGTTTGACTTATTTCACTTAACATTATTCCCACTAGGTCATCCATCCTACCACACATGGTAAGATTTCATTCTTGTTTATGCCTCAGTAATATCTGGGCTTTGCTTCCTGTCACTTTTCTAATTTATTTAGGTGTAAAGTTAGATTGAGATGTTTCTTGTTTTTTGAGGTAGGCCTGAGGTGCTATAAATTTTCCTCTTAGGACTGCTTTCACTGTGTCCCATAAATGTGGTTTTTTTGTGTGTGTTTTTTTCTTCTTCTTTTTCTTCTCTTTTCTTGTCTCAGGTTTATTTGTACAAATAGCACATGAGGACACCAGCTCCATGCAGAAGCCAGGGGTCACACCAGTCCTTCCGTGCTCACATCAGCAGACAGAGGTCTCTGCTCTGGAGCCTTCGTGGGGGTCTGGGCAGCTTTGGGAGTGGGAGCCTGAGCCTGAGCTGCAGCTACACCTGCAGCCTGGGGCTTGGTTTCAGCCTTGGCCTTGGGCGGGCAGAGCCTGAGCCCCTTGGTGGTGTGAGAACAAGCATGTTTCCCAAGCTTGGGGTGAGCGATGTAGGCAAGTCGACTGAGCTCACAGCTCCCACCCTTTGGGACCCTTGGCTTGAGCTCCTTGGGCTTGATGAGGGCCTTGGTGGCCCCGGCACCTGTGCTCATGGCCTTGTTGGCTTGTATCTTCTTCAGACCTTTCTTGCTGTTTTTCTTGGTAAAGCGCATATTCCTTAGAAACTTGGGGTCTACCCCTTAAGAGATGCATATCTTTGTGACCGGGGTTTCTTGATGCTGTTTCTGTGCCATTTTCAGGACTGGTGTGCATGGTTTGTGTCGGAGACTACCTATCATCTTCACTAGCAAAGAAGAGTAGAGACCCCCAAAAGCTAGTGACCTTTGAAGCCCTAGCAAAGGTCGGCGCTGTGCACCACCCAGTTAATCTAGATAATGGTAGCTAAAGCATCATCCCCACCTTAATTCACTTAATTCCTTAGATACTCATGTAAATCCTTGTTGATTATTGTTGATTAGATATTCTGCCTATTTCTGGAAATTGTCTGCTGATGAGCTAATCCATGTGTCATTGAAACCTCCTTACCTTAGGGCTACCCCAGATCAAATAAAAGGTTGGAGTGGCCTGAACATCAGGGGAAGTCCTTCTGGACTTTCCTGCGTGGTCCCCCAATATTTCCAAATTATCTCATCTCTTTTCTCTCTCATTTGTGTGTGGCTCCTCTTTCAGACCCGGACCCTAAACCACGCAGGACTTGGAGGGAAACACACTCGACAGTCTGATTCTTGTACTTGGTCATCTCTACACCAAAGCCCGAAGCTAAGTGCCAAGGATGAGAAAAGAAAAACTGGATTGTTTTGTTTTTTAATTCCCATTTGTTCCAGGGTATCTTTTCATTTATTTCTTAATTTCATTGTCAACCCATTCACTGTTTAGTAACCTATTATTAAGCCTCCATGTGTTTGTGTGTGTGTTTTTTTTTCTATTTTTTTCTTATAATTAACTAGAGGCCCAGTGGATGAAAATTTGTGCACTGGGCGGGGGGAGGTGAGGGTCCTCAGCCTGGCCTGCCCCTTCTCACAGACTGGGAGCCCTCAAGGGATATCCTATTGGGAGGCCACTGGCCAATCCGGGGAAGGCACCACCCCATCACCCCCTCACTGCTTCTGCCTCTGGCCTCCCTCTGTGGGAGGTGACCCCACGATCAGGGGAAGGCGATGGCCCCATCACACCTCTGCTGCTGCCACTGCTGGCCACGAGGCTGCCTGAGCCTTGGTTCTTGCAGCCACTGCAGCTTGCCTTAGCTTCAGCCTGGCCCCCGTTGCCTGAGCCTTGCTCCCTCACAGCAGCAGCCACCATCCGTGGCTTGCCTAAGCCTCAGTCCAGCCCTGGGCAGCGGCAGCAGCCATACACTCCCCCGATGCACTTCCTGGTCAAGTCCCAGCCAGGGACGCAGCATCAAGTCCCCGCCCACCCACATGCACCCGCTGCACGTGCAGCTTCCTGGTGATGGGTTGTTATAGCGTGAGGCCGCCATGGCATAAGGGTTTCATGAGCACATAGGCGTTTATTAATACAGATGTCTAGTTTCATACAATTGTGGTGAGAGAAAATACTTGATATAATTTCAATCTTCTTAAATTTAATGAGGCTTGTTTTGGGTATACTCTGGAAAATGTTCCACATGCACTTGAGAAGAATGTATGTTTATCTGCTGCTTTGGGGTGAAATGCTCTGAAAAAAAAAATCAATTGAATCCATCTTGTTTAATGCAACATTTAAGGCCACTGTTTTATTGTTAATTTTCTGTCTAGAAGATCTATCCATTGATGTCAATGGGGTGTAAAGGCCACTACTATGACTGTGTTAGTGTTGATCTCTCCTTTATATTTTCTTTATATATATATTTAAATATATTTTATTGATTTTTTACAGAGAGGAAGGGAGAGAAATAGAGAGTTAGAAACATTGATGAGTGAGAAACATCGATTAGCTGCCTCCTGCACACTCCTCACTGGAGATGTGCCCGCAACCAAGGTACATGCCCTTGAGCAGAATCAAACCTGGGACCCTTCAGTCCGCAGGCTGACACTCTATCTACTGAGCCAAACCAGTTAGGGCTTTCTTTATATTTTAAGTGCTCCTTTGCTGGGTGCATAAATGTTTACAAGGGTTATATTATCCTGTTGCATTTATCCCTTTATCATTATAAAATGCCCTCCTTTGCCTCTTATTATAACCTTTGTTTTAAAGTCTATTTTGTCTGATGTAACTATTGCTACACCAGCTTTTTTGTTCTTGTTGTTTTTTACATTTGCATAAAATATCGTTTTCCATTCCTTTACTTTTAATCTGTGTGTGCCCTTGTTCTGAGGTGGATCTCTTAAAAATAGCATCTATATGGGTCTTGCTTCCTTAACCATTCAACTACCCTATGTCTTTTAATTGGAGCATTTATTCATTTACATTTAAAGTGATTAATAATAGGTACATATAAATTGCCATTTTATTATTTATATTTATGTTCCTTTTTCCCCCTTTTCCTAAAGAAGTTCCTTTAAAATTGTTTGTAATACTGTTTTGATGGTGATGAAAACCTTTAACATTTTCTTATCTGGGAAGCTCTTTATTTCTCCTTTAAATTTAATTGATAGCCATGCTTAGTATGGTAGTCTTGTTTAAGTTCTTTGATTTTAATCACTTTAAATATTTTGTGACAATCACTTCAGTGCTGAAAATATTCTGTTGAGAAACCTGATGATAGTGTAATGGAAGTTCCTTTGTAGGTAACTGTCTTTAGCTTGCTGCTTTTAATATTTGTTTTCTTTATCTTTAATATTTGCCAATTTTATTTTTATATGTCTAGCATGGGTTTCTTTTGGTATGTCTTGTTTGGAATTCTCTGTGCTTCCTGAATTTGTGTGTCTTTTTATTTCAACATGATAGGGAAGTTTGGGGTCATTATTTCTTCAAATAGGTTCTCAATCCCTTGTTCTCTCTCTTTTCCTTCTGGTGTCCCTATAATGTGGATGATGTTATGTTTCATGTTGTCCCAAAGTTCTCTGATGCTATCCTCATTTTTAAAATTCATTTTTTCTTTTTATTACTGCATTGTCTTCCAAATTACTGGTTGGATCCTTCTCTTCATTGCCTCCATTTCATTTAGTGTTTTTTTGAACATCTGCCCTTTTTCTTTTCTTTTCTTTTCTTTTCTTTTCTTTTCTCTTTTTTTCCCTCCTATTTGGAACATGTTTCTTTGTCTCCCCATTTTGGCTATCTCTATGTGTTTGTTTCTATGTAATATGTAGATTTTCTATATCTTCAAGTCTGGGTAAGGTGGCTTAATGTAGTTCGTATCCAGTGGGGCCCAGGGGCAGTCTCTCTGATCCCCTGAGCTGGGTGTTCCAGGAGTGCTCTTGGTGTGTGTTATGAGTCCTCTCCTGTTGTAGTTATCCTAGATTGCTGTTGGCACATTTGTGAGTAGGGCCCCTAAGGTTGGTTGGCTTTGAGTGTTGGCCACAGTTAGTGTATGAGAAGCTGTAGTGAGGAAACTGGCATCAAGAAACAAAATTCCCCTCAGCAGTGTGTAGTGCCTGCCAACACCTCCCTTTGGGTTGTGCTTTTTCATGGATGTGTTGGGTGTGTTGCTACTGGGAGAAACTCCAGTGCAGATCAATATCAGATGTTGCCTGAGACAGGTCATGGACTATCTGTTAGGAGCTAAAAAGTGATCCATGGTTGCTAGATGCCTGTGCTGGGACTTGGTACATGTGGGAGGGTTCAAGCTGTGTACCAATGTCAACTGTCACCAGTACTCAGCCTGGGGCAGGTTAACAAAAGGCCCATTACACCCCAACATTCACCACCACTTGTCAGCTCCTTGTCAGACTCAGCCACTGAAAGATCATCTGGCAGTAAGGGAGTTGTATGGGGCAAGCTCTTAGAGAGTCACCAGGTAAGGGCAAGTGCTGTTCACCAGGTAATGCAGATTCAAAGCTGGTGCCAGTTGTGGGTATAAAGCCATTTGGAAATGTCAGGGCACAACAAAGATAGCTGCCATTCACCTATGGCCTGAGGACTTTTGTGGTAGGGTGGGGTCTCAGGGAGTCTTCAGGGAGGAGCTAGGAGAGTCAATCAGGCTAAAGCAGATAATATTTGGCTCTGTGGAGGAAGGGTTCAGCACAAAAATGGCAGCATCTATCAGGCACACAGGAAGATTACCATCACCCGAAAGCCACACAACTGCGATTCTTCCTGTATGTCAGCTGCACCCACCGAGCATGTCTATAATTTCTCTACAATTTTTCTAAGGAAAACTGCAATGCAGGCCCAGGTTCATTGCTGCTGGCAGTGCTTACAGCTGTGAGTAATCTGGAGGTCTCTGGTAGGGCCAGTGTAGCTTATCAGGCTAATGCTGTGAGAGGAGTGTGCTTGACTCCTGAATGATGGTGTCTGTGGGTGGTGCAGGAGAGGAACTTAACACAAGGACTCTGGCAGCTGTCCCCCCAGCCCTCTCCCCAAAACCATACAACTCAGTCTCTCCCTATATGACTCTGGTACTCTCCAAGCCAAGATGGTGGATTAGGCCAGAGCCTGGGGAATGCCTGTGAGTGAGAGTTTTGTACAGGCCCTTTAAGAGGATATCTGGGTTTCCAGCAATCTTCCATCTCACAGAAGCAGATGGAATGTCTGCTGATCTTCATAGTCAAATGTTATATGGGATCCACTTCCCAGCACTAGTGCTCTGGGCTGGGAAGCCTGGTGGGGGTGAGACCCTCACTCTTCAGGGGAAATCCCTGCAGTGAAGATATCCCTCCAGATTCTCAAATGCCACATGTGGGTGTGGGTCCAGCCCTTTTCACATCTCTGATCCTCCTACTAGTTTCAACACGGGTTCTTCAGCAAACCCTTAGTTATAAGATTTCTGTTCAGCTAGTCTTCATTTGGTTCTTCAGGTTTATTACTCTCTAATTATGTCATAAATGTTATGTGGTCACAGGGGAAGGTGAATATTGTGTGGTTCATATGTGAAGGTAAAGATTATGTAATATGTATCTTTTCTCTTTCTCTACCCCAGTACCCAAGACTATATTAGATTAACAGAAAACTTCTTAAGATATTATTTGGAGACATTAATAAAACTTGTATTTGTTCCACTAAAGTGAAGGCTTGCTTTTCTATTCCTAGTATCATTCCAGATAAAATATCATGC